TAAAACCAAATTGAGTAAAAATTTCCCTCACCCTGTAGTATTGCCTACCTCCTCCTGAGGGCCTCAGGACTTTGTGCAGAGTGTGATGATGAAATTTCATTTTGTATGAGATTGATACACACCTATCTTTCCCTCTCTGCTGCAGGCTTCTCAAGGTAGGAAGAGTCTTCTTCACTCTTAAATCATTCAACTCTAGTAGCTAGCAATGGCTCCATGCACACTGCTGATGCTTAACACATTCCAAGAAAGCAGCAGCAGAAGAATAGAACTCAGTCTCCCTCTCCAGCCCTACCCCTGGGCTGAGGGAGGGGTGTTGGTGGGTGCTCTGGAGGAGGGTGCTGCATAGAAGAGGGGATGTGCTAGACAAACAGCAGGCACACATGGAACCTCAGCTGCCCCGCACACACACCTCCCTCCCTCATACCTTTCCAGAAATGTCTTCTTCTAACCAAAGTCAGATTCCCACACACAAATTTAAGCACGTACTCCCTTGCCATAGAAATCACCAACTCCTCTCCAGTTATTGGGGGGTCGGTATGAGGAGAAGGACCAAGGAAGGAAAGAAAACTTTGTTTTTAAATTATATTTCCCACATTAAAGGGAAATTATGTTATTAGGGGTGATTTGCATTTTTAGTAGGAAGGAAGATGCAGATTGGAAACACTATTTTATTTTCTGCAGCTAATCTGAGGCACTGGTATTTGTGATCCTCTCCCCCTGATCTATGCTGTTTCTCTTGCTTTGGACCAGTGTCTTGGTTGCTAGCTAATTTAGCAAATCCTATTTCCCACTTCTTTTCTCTCCTTATAATCTAATACAAGTGATTCATTTTGTAATTTTTTTGTGACAAAAGTCTCTTCAACTTCTGAGGGTCCATTCAGACTACAATTTTTATTGACCAATTGGATGGCAGTTACTCTGGAATCCACTCAGACGAATGTACTGAAGAAACGAATCCATGAAAATATTTTGGGTATGGGTAACTAGAGTAAATGATAGCTAGCTGTTCTTTATTAGTAAATGGCCTTCCACCTTCTGGAAATGAAAAGGGGACTCAGGAGTCTATTAAAGAAAGCTGCTCATGTGTGGAAAGAGAAACCTAACCTGTGGTGGGAACACATCAGAACACGTGCGGTTTCTAAAGTGATCCATCATTGCTTCCAAAAGGAGGGAATTAGGTCTCAATAAGGAAGTAAAATAGATGATTCTTCTTCCAATAAAGGATTCATCTAACCATAACAATCATCAGTTAGCATGGTTGTTTGTCAGGCAGGAGAGATTCTGTATTTTGAGAAGCAGAATTATCCCAACAAAATAAAAAAGCAAGGGGATGAGTCAGAAAAAGGGAATGTATCTTTAAAAATTGATTCTAAAAGAGCAACAAGTGATTTCACATAAGCATGTTTAGGACATTAGGCCAGCCTCCCTTTCTCTGGCTACTTTAACCAATTTTATTCTGAACAGCTACCCCCAAAGGCACAAATGAGGACAATTGTGAAGTGCATTGTTTTCACTTCTGACTCAGCATCTGGAAAATTCTAGAAAGGAGAAAATTCATCGAATTAGGTAAAAAAGCTTTACTGTGAAATATATTCTATGATACAGGATGACTTTTGCACTCTCCATTTAAAGAAATACAGCAAAAGTTAGAATCTCATTTTCAAGTGGCATTTGATTTATCACATACAAGTGAAGAACAAACTCTATTTAAATTCTGAGAGGAGTCATTTTTCTACAGAGAAATGGATTTCACATAAAATGATTTCAATTTGAATCCATAGAATTTGAAATTAAATTCTTCTGAGGACAGGAAATCACAGTTGTATGAATTTTGCCTCTTTATGCAAGATTTCTTTATGCCATGCCATTTTTTCAGTGAAAGCTTCCAGTCTTACCACAGCATGTCCTCCTGCAGCATGTAGACTGGAAAAGCATCTTAGTTTTGACAATATTAAATGACTTCCTCAATTGTGGTGTCTAGATTTATACAAAGTGGTTTTAAGAAAGCATGCACCACCCCCCACCCAAACCCCCGTTTTAGATAACCCTTGGAGGTTCACAATGCTATTTCTTTTTTTTCTTTTTTAATTAATATTTTATTTTATATTTCTTACATCATTTTTCATTTTTGCACAATGTATGCATTATCATTTTGGATATATTCCCCATACAATTGCACCCCCCCCCCTTATTTTGACCCTAGTCCTTCCTCTCCCCTCCCCCTCCCCCCCGTAGTGTCTTCGGTTTATAGTTGCTTGTTGATTTTGATTTTTACTTTGTATTAATTAGTCTTTTTCCTGGTCCCTTATTTGGGTTTTCTAAATTCCTGTTATGAGTGAGACCATCCGGTATTTTTCTTTTTCTTTCTTTTTTTTTTTTTTAAGATTTATTTATTTATTTATACAAGCACTGGGTACAGTCAGAACCGCAGGAGGGTGAGAGAATTCACCAGAGCCAGAGCGGGGAACAGAACAGGCAGACTGACGGAAGTACACTGCTGAGGGGAGCAGCGGGCACCGCAGGAGAGGTCTGTCATGCCATGTGGGACCCTCGCCGGCTGCCAGGGATCGAACCGGTGCTGCAGAGGCTGCAGCAGCTTCGCAGCCCAGCGCTCAACTGCTGCACCACCAGGGGAGACCCAGTATTTTCCTTTTTCTTTCTGACTTATTTTGCTGAGCATGATCCCTTCTGGCTTCATCCATGTTGCTGCAAACTGCATGTGTTTATCTTTTTTGATTGCTGAGTAATATTCCATTCACAATGTTAATTCAATGTGAATGGTTCACTTTGCTCTTATGTATGATAACATAGCCAATGAAATTTTATTTCATAGGATTGTCATCATTATTTGTTAATATGATCTTCTGTTTCAAGGTTCATTCAGATTGCTTGATTTAAAGAATTTAAGTACAATTCCACCCTGAAATAAGAAGGTGCAGGTTAAGTGATTATCAGGCTTTTCTGCCTCCCGCCATTGGCATTGATGATGGATCCCGTGGGCCTACATGCATGCCTGATGGCAGGCACCTGGAGTAGGGTGTGGGCATGCATAGGTGGGCACACCTGGGCAGAGACGGGGCTTATAAGGGCGGCATCACAGGGAACCAGCAGAAGAGAAAGAACAAGAGAACAGAACCAGGAGAATGAGAGCAGAAATAGCAGAGCAGCAAAGGAGAAGCAGAGACCACGAGAGAACGCCAGAGAACCCAGAAAGAGTGAAGATTCTCCCGGGGCTGGGAGGCCTGCTACCCTCCCGCCACCCCCGGCCTCTCTTCCTTGTAAAAAAACTCCATAAAAGCCTGAAAAGCCACCGAGGGCTCCAGAACTCTCCTTAAACGTCTGCTCAGATCATAGAGATCTTGCACTGTGCCTTCCTGACACTACAGAAGGCAGTGAGAGTGGATACATGGCCCAACGTGATGACCAGGCACCAGGTAAGCATGTGGTAGTAATCACATGTTGTCAGTGATCTTGTTAAGCTAACATTTAGTGACGATATGCTATGTGATGGATGCCATGCCCAAAACTTTATAGGTATTTGTAGGATAAGTTAAATGGTCGGACTTATATGCCACTGGCCTCTGTGGCTACCACCTGCGGCCAGCCTTGAATGCAGGAGGCGCTTGGGAGCGTGGGCGTTGGGCATGCATGCCTGATGGCCACTTGGAGTATGGTGTGGGCGTGCTTAAGTGGGCACACCTGAGCCAAGAGGCTAAGTCTATATGGGTGGCGTCACACAGAAAACAGCTACAGCAGCACAGCAGGCTGTGATGGAAGGGCTAGAGAGGAGGAGAGACTGCAGAGATGCAGGACCACAAGATGACCCAGAGAGAGCCAAAGAGAAAGTGTAAAGAATGCCAGCCTCTCGGCCCCAGCCCTCCGTCTGCACTGCACCTGGTTGCTGGCACTACAGCATTATCCTATTTTTCAATGACTCTCTTTACCAGATGAGAAATCTGAGGCTTAGAGATGTTGAGTGATTGCTCAGGGTTCCATAACTGCTGGGAAGTGAGGGGGCTGCAGCTCATGCTCTTAACCACTACCTGTTGCTCCTTCTGAGTCAGAAAATAAGAGCAACCTCTACACTTTCTGTCACATAGTAGGTTTTTAGTGCTTTCATATTTATGTTTACTTTGTTTACATGGTCCTTGAGGTCATTGACCTCTTGTAGATGCTTGTTGATGCAGAAAAAATCAGAAGGTGTTCACATAATTAAAAGGTGTTCATTTGAGAATAGAAATCATATGAACTGGGTCCACAACCAAGGGGCAGTCTCAAGGTGTGTTCCCCAGGGTCAGTGCATATGGGAATTTTAAAGGATCATGGAGGGAGATGATTTGAGATTTGATTATGATAAAATCTTGGATTGGTTCTTAAGTTCATTCATCTGTCCCTGACTGGTGGGGAAATGTCTTCAGACAGAGGTTACAGTGCCAAGGTGGGGTGTGGGTCTGCTGTGATGACCAACAGATGCCTTCATTTCACATAGTCACCAAATGGCTGAGGCAGGCTGTTTTGGTTTTACCTAAAAGTCTCAATGCGGCAGTTAGACAAGATGTCTCTATGGCTCAAAACAGATTTCTCGGGTTAAAAGTTACATTTGCTATGTGATCAATTTGCAAGACCTTCCTTAAAAAGCTAAAGTCGAAGGAATCTGAAGTATGAGCAAAATTAATAGTTCAGTTACTATTTGTGTCAAAATAACATTAACTTAGGACAGGACATAAGCAGCTGCCTAAAATTGAGAACACCAAGGTGTTTGTAGTAAAAATAACATTTGTTGACACCAACAATTACCATTGTGTCAACAGCAACTATTTACTCAGCATCACCTATGTGCCAAGAACCATGACTACATATTTTACATATATTACCCTTGAACATCCTAACACACCAACAGAGCAGGCATTATTATCCTTACTTTACAGCTGGAGGTTAAAGAGGCCCTGAATCCCAGATCTTCATGAATAGTTCATATCATAAGGAGATGAACCTCTAAGGAGCCATGTTAAAAATAAATTAAAAAAATTAAGATTAGTGTTTGCTTTATAACTCAATACCTCCTTAGTAATTTGGGATTATTCTTTAACTTAGACTGAAGTGAGGACCCACCTTCAGCAGCAAGCTATGGTGGGTATTTAAATGGCACCAAAACATCCTTTTTGTCTGTCATTTTGTCATCCTCTAATCCTGACTTTATGATGGCATCCACTAAAAACATCTTTATTAGGGGGTTCACTTTTATCTGCGATGTAGAATCTTCCATAGCATCCTGGAATCTCAGGGTTGGTGATATCTTAAAGGTCATTTAGGCTGATCACTTTTCCTTTTCCCAATAGATGGTTTTGTTTTTTTCTCTATCTAAGAGGATGGAGAATTGATACAACTTGTTTAAAAAAAAAAAAGGCGGAAGCACAATGAGACAGAATCATTTGTATTAAACTTTCAAAAAATGCAGGAAGTTATATTTGACTACACAAAGAACAAACTATGCATGTGAGGAGTCAACTCTGATGGACACCAAATGTCAAATCACATAACAATTGCCTGACATAAAAGTTATGCAGTGATACATTTTGAATACTTTGTTTTAATAGAATTTCATATTTATAGAAAAATTGTAATAGCTCAAAGAGCTCCTGCTTATTCTTTCCCTGATTTACCAGTTCCTAATATTTTGCCCCATTTGTTTCATCATTTGTACTTTTTCCTGAACTATTGGAAAGCACTTTGTTGACTGACACTGTCTCTTATACATAAATATTTCAGGGTTTATTTCCTAAGAACCAGGACTTTCAAAGTAATAAATTTTTGTTCAAAACATAAATTTAACACAAAACCCATCAGAATAAATTTTTCAAGTGTTAATAACAAGAAAAATACACTGCCTTCATTTTGCATGAGAATAATTTTTTGTCCACTTTTGCTTCCTATGATACTCCCAGGTCCTAACACAGTGTCTGTCACAGCAGGTGCTCAATTTTACCTGCTAAATTCTTAATGTGACAGTATGATACTATATTGATCATATTTCTAAGCAAAGCATTATTAAAATAAAACAAAGGTATGATAGCAAAATACTCAGGCATTTATTACCTGTAACTTGTAATTCACCAGTTAAGAAAAGAGGAAATATCTTCAGATGAAAAGAACTGCTGGCATAAAAGCTGCGTGAGATGAGACAAGGCAATGAAAGTCAATGAGGATTTCTCAAAACCTCCTCTCCTCTCCCAGTTCCCCTGGAATTGGCTCTCTTCATAGGTAGCGGTTTCTGATGTATTCTCGGTACATGAAGGTGTCTTCTTTCCCAAGGGGCTGTATGATACCTTGGCTGGCCTGGATGTGGGCTTGGAAGATCTCTGTAGATTTCCTGTCTACTCTTGGAGGCTGAACTTCATAGATGTTGTCTTGTGAGAAAGCTGAGATGGGTGTTCTATAAAAGAGAAGATGGGGCCACATTAAAGAAAATGAAGGTCCACAGTGAGCTGTGGTCTCAAGACATTTGAGAGTCCTTGACCTTGGCGGTGGAGGTTGGGGGGGAAGGCTTTGTAGTACAACTGGTGGTAATGACCTCTCTGCTGCTTCCCCTTGGTTTGCTTCTTTTTCTGCCTGAGGATGCAGTATCTGCCCAGAGAGCCTTCCCTGATGAAAAGGTTGGGCAGGCAGTCCTTGTTTGTTCCACAGCCCTGGGTACACCCATATTTGTGAACCTGTTGGCCTCCCTCATTTGCCAGTAGCAAATATAGGTGAGGGCTGTAGAGACTTTTTGCTCTTTTTCCTTGGCACATGGTAGACTCTCAACCATGTGCCCTCAACAAAGATGGGGAAGAAATGGAAAAACACCCAAGACCCTCACAAGGGGCTGTCTCTGAGGGCACTGGAAAGAGATGAAAGGACATCCAATAATGCTTCCAATGCTACACTGAACAGTCTTTTTATTAGTTGAGATGGCATCTGTTCTTGGGTGAAAAAGCCAGTATTTATTTATTTATTTATTTAAAGTTTTATTATTTATTTATTTTTTAATTTTATTTTTATTTTATATTTTTTAATTTTATTTTTTATATTCCCCATACAATTGCAACCCCCTTATTTTGATCCCACTCTCTCCTTTCCCCGCCCCCCCCCAATAGTGTGTCTCTGGTTCATAATTGTTTGTTGATTTTGATTTTTTTCTTTCTTATAGCTATTCTTTTTCCTGGTCCCTTATTTAGGTTTTCTAGATTCCTGCTATGAGTGAGACCATCCGGTATTTTTCTTTTTCTTTCTGGCTTATTTTGCTGAGCATGATCCCTTCCAGCTCCATCCATGTTGCTGCAAATTGCATGTGTTTATCTTTTTTTGAATGCTGAGTAATATTTCATTGTGTATATTAAATATAGGCGAAACACTACATGACATGCACCTCAAAGACATCTTTACAGACACATCGCGAAAAGGCCAGTATTTAAACACTGAATGAGGTGTAAACTGTGAAACAACTTCTTTTTGTTCATTCCAGTAGACAAAGCTGTTTCTTATTGCACTTTTGGGGTGGGAAAAAAATGATTCCATATTTTTCTCCATGCCCTGAACAGAGGCAATGTCTTTTATCAGCTTCTCCTTACAGGCCCCAAAGGGAGAGCCATATTGTTCTTCATTTAAGTGTTAATAGTATTTTTGGAGATAAAATATTTTAATTATAAATTTGCAGGCTCATTTCTTTTTATCTACAGAACCTAGTTCCATCATCAAGGAGAGTGCTGTATTTCTCCTCAAGGAATATAACTACCTAATTTAGAATAATGCATTTACCAGTTCATTTAGGGACTGTATCACCCACATAACTTGGCGCACTCCAACTGAGGGCTGATGCCACTTAACCTTAACTGCAGCTCCCATTCACAAAAGAGAAACAGAAATTCATTAGACACACCACATGCTTTGAAAAAAAAAATCTTACTGGTGCCCTTTTATGCTCTTTCTTAAATGTGATATTACTCAGTTAGAATATGACCACGTCTGATAATAACCGTACCTTACACTTGGGTGCAGAACAAATACTTGATTCTCTTTTAAAGTTCAATTCCTGTTGAGGTTGTTTTTTTTTTTTTCTGACTTACACAGACTGAGTACCCAATGTACAAACATGTTGGTTTGACAAGAAAATAATTGGTTAGACTGAAATGTTTTTTGAACTTAGTAATGTCAGATGCTTTATGATTGCTGATAGAAAAACTAGACAATAGTTGTATAATTTCAATTTCACATATGTGATACTTTTCCATATGTTAAAATTTTGTACTTTCTCTATGATTATTAACATTTTGGCACACATCAAGTCCCATTTGGCAGAAAATTCAGCTATGGTTTTAGTCACAGAATATATTTCCCTTCCCAGGAATTCTTTCTTTTTTTAATTAAATTATTTTATTGCGGTATAATTGACATATAACATACTAGTTTCAAGGTGAATAACATAAAGATTTGACATTTGTGTATGTCACAAAATAACCACCACAATAAATCTAACAACTATTATCATCACCACACAGTTATAAAAATGTTTTTCTTGTCATGAGGACTTTCAAGATCTCTCAGCAACTTTCAAATGCACAATAAAGTCTTATTAACTATAGTTACTATGATGTACGGAACACCCATGACTTATTTATTTTGTAGTTGGAAACTTGCTCCTTTTGACCTTCTTCACACATTTGGCCCAGCCCTCAGCCCCTTTTTGCCCCCCCAGCCATGATCGCTTCTGTTGCCACCAGAGATGCTAAGTTTTTCCCTTAATGTTGTTTTCATATCACCAGAAGATTCTTTGGTAGCCACACTGAGTCACAGAATCAAAAGAACATTATAACTGAAGAGGACCTTACAGAAGACTTCACCAACCGCCTTATTGCAGATAATGATCATCAGGGCAGATGACCTGATGACCTGATGATCATCTGCCCTGATGACCATTATCTAATGTCATCATTTGTCTCATTAGTTCCTCTAAATTTATGTTGGTTCAACACTGATCACATGCTCTGGTCTCAGTGGAGCAAAACTTCAGCAAATGCCATAATTGCAATAGCCCTTAATTATTATTCTATCTTTCTGCAGGCCATGGTAATTTCTACTAGGAAGTAATGGCCCTCCACCTCAGTGGCAGAGGGTGTGTGGTACACGTCACTATGAAATGATTTTCTCTCTTTCCAGGCTTTAAAATTGCCAAAGTCTTTAGCCCACACTTTGTGGAGGCCACTCTAACAGATTTTCGATTGTCCATTGCTTCTTTTTAGTCTTCTTATTAGGTTGCTTATATCTTTCCAACAAGATACTCAAAACACTGAAGCTGAGTCATGAATCTATTCTGCCAAGATGATGCAGTGACACTGTGTTTGTCTCTTCATGTTAAAAACCAAGGCAATACTGCATGTTACTCACATTCTGTGCACAAGCACAGGCATCTAAGTCTAAAATGTAGCTCTCAAACAGCACTTGTCCAACAGGGTAGCAGTGTCTACTTAAATTTATATTTAAATTAAATAAAATGTAAAGTTAATTCCTCAGTAACACTAGTCACATTTCTCATGCCTGGTAGCCTAGTGCAGCTACTGGCTACTACACTGGGGAGTACAGATATGGGACATTTCCATCATCACAGAAGTCTTACTGGACACACTGTTCTAGAAACTCTTTTTTTTTTCTCAGGAATTCTGGGTACTTGTGTGTCTTTCTAAGCTCATTACCTTAATATGTCTTTGCATAGCATGCATTTAACATTATCTGATCCTTAATTTATGTGTAAAAATACTTGTTAGGGTGGGAACTCCATCTCCATCACTTCTTTATTTCCACTGCCCACATGAACTCCTGGCATATAGTTAAGTGCTCAATAATTATTCACCAAATGAATGAATGACATCTGTTTAAGAATACAGTTCTACCTTGGGTTTCTAAATTCAGGACCTGAATTTAGTGTGCCTTAGATTACGCTGGACGATATGGGAGCTGGAATTTCCCACCAGATACCTGGCTCCTCCTCTGTTCCTTTTCTCACATAACCCGTAAGTTGAACAGGGGATGGAGAACTGGGGTGCTTTCTAGGGAGGGACAAAGCTATCAAAGTGGCTCAAAAAAAAAGGGGGGTGAGGTAGGAGGAATTTTTTTTTTAAATGCTCATTAGTAGGTGAGAAAATGGGCTCAGGGAGATTAATAAATTTACTAAATGGGCTGAAGTTCAGAGAAATATGTCAATCTTCAAACCTTCTTAAATAATTCAAAGGCAAACACACTCCTGTACTCTGGGATCCTTGACAGCAGGCTCCATCTGCACTCACCTTTATATAGCCCATCATGTTAATTTCAATGTTGGAATTCGGGGAAGCACTCGATATTACTTACTGCATTCACCCCAAGGGCAAATTCACTTTTACATCTTTGGTAGAATATGTGATAACACAGAGTAAAGGTGGTAGGCTTGAGGAGCAAGCACTACTCATGTATTGGGAAATTAAACCATTTCATTAGCTGCCAATGATATCCTAAGCATCAAGGTAAAGAATGAATTAATTTCCTTTTTACTTCAGCTAAAAGACAATAAGTCTATTATAAAGTTCTATTAACTTAATACATGATTCCCAACAAAGTTCAATTATTTTCATGTTATTATTTCATTGAGAGCTAATGAACAGGACATAGTAAACAAATCTGATTCATTCAAATACAAACATTTTCAAATCCTTTTAACATCTGCTACAAAAACAAGGGTGACTGGACTGCCCTCCAATAGAGACACTGAAAAGGAGATTAGAAATTTCACAGGCAGGTCAAAATTCATTAAAATAAAGGTAACAATAGTCCTAGTCCCTACAAGCTATCATTAGAAGGAGCAAATGGGGTGATGAGAAGGAAGAGAAGAATATAATCTGTGATGATGGAACATAAAATGTACAACTTTAAAACTAGGGGAGTAGATTGTATTAAGGTCCTTCAAAGGCTCAAAAATAAGGAATCTCAAGTCTCGAAAGCAGAACACATCTTTAAAGATTTTGATAGCAGAAGAATAGGTATCATTTCTATTAGGGAGAGAGCATGAAGACAACAAAACCCTTATTGTGTATGTTTCCCAAGCACTCATCTACTTTCAGTCTGCCAGGGAGCCATGTGAATGACAGACTAACCAGAAAGGCACTGCAGCCCCCCAAAAGTTGACTATTTTATGCTTAAGTAACATCAACAATATAGAAATATATAAATCAAAGAACACTATGACCTTAATATACCTCAAAGAAATTTATGCATTTGAAAAGTTTAAGATGGCCAAATTCTTCAGATCCACTAAATGAAAATAGTGTATATATACGTACACATGCAATGTATTCAAGTATAATATATATATATTTGTGCTTGTACACACAAATATATGTGTACACCAATATATATATGTATTCATAA